GCTCAGAAATCAACAGCAAACACATAGAGGTGTATACAGCACCATTTTGTTCAAGCTCCAGTTTATTTCTGCTTCCTTTCACATCAGGAAAAGATCAGTTGGTCACTTTCTGGGCTTTAAAAACAGCTTACTTTTCTACTCAGTATCATGTCAGAGAGGCCAGCATATTCTGTCCCCTGCTGTGTTAACTAAGTGTGACCACATTTACAGCCCAGAGGGTAAGGAGACAGGCCACTGAAACTCAGAGCTGCTCTGTGGGATGTGGGGCAAATAAGAAGCAGACAGCCAATAGATGATACCACCTGCTACCTCCAGTATCTGGGAGACCTGGGGCTGCTCCAGCCTGGGTTTCAGCAGTGAGGCGGGAAGTATGAGCTCACTAGTAGACATGGAGGATATACAGTCTTGGGTCTGTGTTCTATTAGCTCTCTGTATAAAATCAATTTCCATCGTGATCAGACATGCAGAGGGTAATTTCCTGCATGTCCAGGGTCCTGGCTAAGTGGAAATACTTCTGCTTGTCTGTTGTGATTATTTAAGCCACATGATCTCACAGGGAAAACACGCAGTACTGGCTTAGACTCTGGGTGTCTTGATGTGATAGTCAGCTGTCACCTTAACCACTGCTACACGTCCATGTCCAGATTCACATATTCACCTACCCTGCTCTGTCCATAATTATGGAAGAACAGCAAAAATAGCATAGATGTTACTTTTTCTTTGAAAACATGTGGTCCATTTCTTCCCAGAAAATTAAAGATTTTCTATGGTAGATTCCCATTTCCTTGAGAGATGAGGCCACCTGTTGTACCTTAAGCTTTGCTTGCTTGCTTTTTGAGGGGGCGGATTAATGCTTGCATCTTCCTTAGTTATCTAACATCTTATTCCACATTCCCCCAGACAGGCTTAGTGTAGCCTGATGTCTGCACCAATGCGCAGGGCCTTAGAAACCCCTCTGTCTGTGCTGACTTTGGCCAGAGACTTCATAGGCTGCTTTCTGCATCAGCTTTAACAATTGACACCCTCTTCACAAGGCTGCACCAAGGAATGAAGTGATAATTGTAAGATGCTTTGAACCTTTCCAGAGGAAGGTGATCTGAAAACACATGTTCTTTCATTCAAGAGGGAACGGTTTTTGCTCCTGGATACAGCTGAAGTAGGAGCTCTCCTACCCTCACACTTTGCTCCCTCCACAGCCAAGGGCCTCTCTGTGTCTTCAAAAATATAATTGGAGGGTTGACAAACAGGGCAGCCACAGCAGGGACCAGGCCACCAGCAGCAGAGGTATTAGCCAGAGGAAACCCTGTGTTTGCAGCGTGCACAGGCTCCACTTGTGCAGGCTGATGTATACCGCTGCAGAAAGTGATTCACTGTGAGGCCTAAGCTTGTCATGGATAGAGAAGCTGGGGCTTCTTGAGTTTGAATTCCAGTTCTCCAAGGACAGTCTGTGTGGCATTAGATAAGTTCCTCAACCTCTCAGAACTTTTGTTCAACTCTAAGATAGGGATAACAATAATTTGATACTGTTACTGTAAAGTTTAGATGAGATCTTGTCTGTACTACTCTTACAAGTCCTCAGTAAACAGTAGCTTCTGCTTCTGTGTCTGCACTTGGCAGTGTAGAGATGCTTTTGTTTGTTTTATTGCTGTTGTTTTAATGCCACTGTATAATGTTATAGTTTGTGTGCAAATACTAGATATGGCAAGATAGAAACTGCCTCATCACTTGCCAGTTGGCTATGGATTGTGGCACAAACTGACTGTATGTAGCCACATGTGTTTTGTGGAGAATTGTCTTGTACACTTGATGGGGGCCAGGGTCCACCCACCATCTTCCACCCTCCATGTCCTTTCCCAGCTCTCCACCTCCAGCTTTGTCTCAGAAGTGTTTGTAAGTGTATAAATCAGCAGCCTACCATGTGGGCTCCCTGCTTCCAGCCACGTCCTTGCTTATTCTTATTTGTTCTTAGCCATCCCAGTGCCTTCTCACCCCATCCTTGGTGCTGTCCACTGAACCAAGCCGCTTCTCTCCCCCATGGCCCACAGCCAGGTGCTTGGGTTCACTTTACCCTGTTTGTGCCCTCCTTCCATTTCCACTGGTATACCCCCAGTGTGCAGGGCAGTAAGCCTCCCCAGGACACACTCAAGTGCTTCCTTCTTCCCGAAGCCTCTCCCAAGGCTCTTCTTGCTATCCTTCATCCATCTGTCCCTCCTGAACCAGGAAGTCTTCTTGCACACACCCAGACTCAGTTCCCTATAAGCTGCTGTTGTTGTGGAAGTCATGTGTTCCTCACAAACATTCATTCCCACCTCAGCTCTCCACTGAAGCTGGCCCAGAAGCTCTACCAGAGATTCACCACATACAGACTTGCCTGCTCTTCAGCTTTCTCTCATGAGGACTTGGGACCTCACTCAGCAACCTTCTCTGCCTTCGCTTCCAGCCCTTCCTCCATGCCACCAAGAGAAATATCTTTCAGTGAGAATTCCCCAAAAGAAATTTATGTCCCTGTCCTCATATCCACTCCTCTGTAGTGATGCACAACAGCTGTTTGCCATCTTTTGTAAAATCACTTGAAAATAGCAATTAAGTCACCCCTCAGATGCTGCCTTTTCAGGACATTTAATCCCAGCTCCCTTGACCTCCCTCATGCATCCAGTGTGTCTGGCCCTTTGATCATCCTGCTTCTTGTAAACCTCTGAGTTCTGCCTCTCCCTCACATGCTGAGGACCATTTTCCTGGATGCCAAGTGCAGTAGAGCGTGGCTTAGACTGCCTCCCACAGCAGCCTTCCCAAGGGTCACTGAGATGGTGCTTGAGTTCTGGCCACAGGAGTGTCTCTCTGGCTAGAAAGAAAGCCAATAAAGGGCACATCCTGCCTGCATCCAGGGAAGCTAGTTTGATTTCTACTGAAATGTGTGAAGCTAACAGATAAAACTGACTTCTGTTTACAAAGGAAGTCCTCTTGTTTGAAAAAAAGCAGACTTTTCTCTTACCTGCCATTGCACATACCACCCAGATACAGTCCTCTGGTAGAGGGGTCAGTTTCATCCTCACCCTCCCCTCAGCAGCCCTAGGCTTTGAGCACTGGGGTCAGCTCTGTGTACACCCACTTGCCAGTCTGGATTGAGGGGCTCCTGTTAGAGAAGTTGCCTCCTTTTTTCACACACATGCACACATTTGGGCACACAACCCCATGTGTGCTTCTCCACTCACAGTTACAGGGGGACTTGGCTGTTTACACTGGGGTTTATACTATTAAATTACTATAATTAAGTAGTGGGAGGGCCCCGTGATGGTGGCACTTGGATTTTTTAGGAAGCATGTCCAGATTCCACTGATTTGGGGGACCAGGAGGACCTAGTGAGATAGTGCTTGTCTGTCTGTCCTCTTAGGTCCTCTCTCCTTCTTCTGCCTAGTAGTCCTGGAGCCAGACATTATTGGCTACTTTCTCTGCATAACCTACTTCCCCTCCCTGTAGTGGGCCCTATTTCTCCAGCTCCCTCTCTCATGTCTGATCACACCATCCATGGTAGGCTGCACTGACCTTCCAGGATGTCAGTGGTATAGGCTTTACTATATGTTTCTACAACTTCTGTTGTCAACAGAGAAGCAGGGGGTTAGGTTTTTAAATGTATGATATTGTGTGTGTGTGTGTGTGTGTGTGTTCATGTGCATGTGCCATGCTACATATGTAGAGATCAGAGGACAACTTCTTTTTTTTGGTCTTTTTGAGACAAAGTCTCTTCTGAGAGTAGGTTCTTACCAGCACCTTGATTAGGCAGGGACTCTCTTATTGTTTCTGCTACTGTGCTACATTCTCAGGCTAGCTGGCACACAAGTTTCTGGGTTATTCTCCTGTCTCCACTTCTCATCTCATCATAAGAGTACTGGGATTACAGGTGCATGCCAGCACATCCAGCTTTTTATGTGAGTTCTAGGGACTGAACTTGGCTCGTTAAGCTTGAATACCCACTGAGCCACCTCCCTGGGCTGAGAAGTGTGTTTTCATTCATTCAAATAAAAAATATCTATATAGAAATCTTCTTTACTAACAGGAACCGTGTAAAGTGCTGGAATTTGCTGCTGGAGAAGTTCAGTTCTGCGAGGAGACAGTAAAAGTTCAATAACCAAATAATTCATAGTACCAACTGGTGCTGTGACACAGGGGACAGGGAGTGGTGGGAGTTATACACAGGAGGCAGCCATCCTTCTATCCGGGAGAGTCCAGCAGGCCTCTCTGTAAGCAGAGAGATACTGAGCACAAGTAGGGATTATCTGGAAGGTGATAAAGGGGGATGTGTTTGCTTTAAACTGTATTATTCAAGGAAGAACAGAAGCTACAACCTAAGATCTCTTGACCCCAAATATATCAGATACTTAGTAATTTTGAGGACCAGGGATGTCAGCAGGACGTTAAGCAAAAGAATTTCAACTGACATAAGAAGCAATCATAATATGATATAGCAAGAGGATTTGATATGGGCCTGCCTAGAAACAGACAGTGGGAGCCATACCTGTGCCTTGTGTCCTCTGTGGCTGATCCCATGTACACTGCTCTGTCTGCACTGCTCTGTCCTTGCAGCCCATTGTTCACTGTATGTTCACATCTGTGGCGCTCACTAACTGCTGGAGCGCTTGGGCCTTACTCTGCCTCACCCCTCTCCAGTAGCCAATTATTCCTAGGAATACTTCTTATCTTCCCAAAGTGACTTTCTCAATCACAAAGTTCATTTCAAAGCATTAAAAGCACCCATCACTGTATTGTGCTTGTGATTCTTCAATTCCCATGTGCAGCCTTTGCTATTGACTAGCGAGACTGCCCTGATATGATGGGGTTCCCTCCCACACCCCCACCCATTGGAATGTTGCTCTTTCTCCAGAGAGCAGCTCCTCCTCTGGATGATGGATGCTGGGATGAGCCCGCATAATGACACACAAACATTCTGGCTAATAAGTGCTCTGGAAAATTTTAATCATTTGCTTTCTGTTTTGTCCCTAAAGGCTTGAGTTGTCTGTTGAAAACATCATCCGAGATTGGCTTGAGAGTTCCGGAATACCTGAGGTACCTTGAGATAACTATTCCAGGAGTCCCTGGGAAAAAGTCAAGCTTGGTGCTTCACCTATCATTCTTGCAATGATTTTTTTTTAATGTGTCTATTAGAGTAATACAGTATCCCTAAGTCAGGAAAGTGCTGACTTCTGGCATCATTTCTGCCTGCCATTGTGGCTGCTGGTTCAACAGTGATGTTATAGGTGTTACTGTGTTGTTTATTAAGTGATGCCTTCCAAAGCATGCTAGGTATTTTGGGTGAAGTCTCTAGGCAACAATCTAATGCCTACCATAGGCTAAGCAGCTGACCTCTAGTTCTGCTCTGTAGATATAGCCGAATGGGTGAGCTGGTTTGCCACTACTTTTACCTGACTTTGGCACTTGTGTTTGCCTTCTGTTCTGTCCCTAAACACATGTTTTTAACTTCTTCCCTAGTGTGCCCAAAGATTCTGCTTCAGGTCTGCCTCTCTGCCCACTTAGTCACTGCTCTGTCTTGGGGACTTGGACTCAGTCCTACTAGAGACTTGCTTCTCTTTTAGGCCATGGATGGATATGAGAGCAAAATTGTTACCTGGCCAGCTCTAGACCCATGGGAATGCCTGGCCCTGCTCCACCTGTCTCCCTGGTCCCTTGTCTCCTAGAGCCTACTGGGAAGTTCAGGCTCCTAGCTACCTGAACACTGACCCGAAGACCCAATCTGACCATTGTATAAGGTCTTAGTAGCTGTGACCAGATCCCCACGTAGAGAGAAGCTTAACTCTGGGCTCAGGCAAGCAGCCCCTATGGCCTGCTCGTTTCTGGTTTCATGGCAAGTTACGTGAGCATCCCTTTGGGAGTGTCTGAGTGTCAGGGACTGTCTGTGACCCATGAAGTGAAGTGGAGGGTGATCTCCATCACTTTCTCATTGCTCGACTCACATATTTGTTCTTACCCCTCACACAGGGGAAAATGTTTGCCACCAGCCAACCATTGGCATACTGGGAAGAAAGGACACTTTGCGTTCAGTTTAGAAATCATGTCACCCGTTGAAAGTTACTTGTTTGGCTCAATCCCTCTGGGAGCCAAAAGAAAATAAAAAACTAAACAGAGCAGGTAGGGCAAGGCAGTATCTGTCCTGGAAGGCAGTGCTTTCAATTCTGGTGTTATGAGATCCTGTGGTTTCTAAGGTCACTTCCAAACCAGACCGCTCACAGAGGACAAAAATCCAGGGAGAACAAGCTAAGGTCTGTCTGGTCATGAATGGCTCAGCCTCACCCTGCAGTGCTTCATATAGGGGTGGGGTAGGGCGTTTCTTTGTGGCATTTGCTTTGTGATCCTAAGCCAGCCTGTTAGAAGGCTCCCTGGCATTCTTGGTGTGGCCTGAAAACTGGGAAGAACTGGAAGCTCAGTCAGCTCCTAAATTTCCTCTTTCAGAATAAGACCCTTATTTGCATCAGCTAGCCGGGTGGAGCAGGGGTGTGGTGTAGGGGGGGAGTCCTGAATGGTGTGTGCCCAAGAGCACCAAGAGCAGGTTGCCCCAGTTGGGGTATGGGGCTGGACTCACAACCCCCCAGCCACCAGCAGGCTCAGGTGTGCTATGAGCAGGAGGCTTTGCTTCTTATTAACTGCGGGGGGGGGGGGGGGGATGAGGAAGAGAGAAACTTGTCTTTGAGCTGAACCTTTTTTTCCAGAGGTGTAGTTGCATTAGTGACAGCTTAGTGTAAACAAGACTCTCTACCATGAACTGCCAAAACTTGCTGTCAAAACAGCCAGGGCAGTGAGGCTCACCAGCTCTAAACTATCTTTAAGGCCTAACTGGCATTTCCTAGGGTGCTTAACTGTTCAGTAAAAACAACGGCACCAGACAGAAACGAGCCCAATCTAGTGCGCACCATTCTCTTGGTGAATGATCACACGGCGTCTTTTCATCTCTTCCCCTAGTTCTCTGCCATTATTTATATGACTGCTGGTGATTTACCTGCCCTCAGCCCCCTTCACACTCCTTCAAAGTTTCTTTTCATTTCCACTTCAGTGAAAGGCTTGGCAAGGTCCTGAGACCCTGTAGTTGCAGGAGCCTCAGAGTGAATGGGACACCTTGTTCTTTGTCCCCATCATTATAATATAAAGTTACCAGCATGCCTGCCCTGGAGTGACAGCCCAGCACTGAAACTGCTCTCATGCTTTTTGTTCTCTTGAGAATTTCTGCCCACCAGCAACTGAAGTCATTCATGACAAGAATCCCATTCGACTGATGAGGTTTTCATCCCACAGGTTACAGAGGGCCTTTTGTCTTCTTTGAGGAAGGCCTGCCTTTAGGTCAGCCTCGATTTTCCTTTATGGCTACACTGAATGAAATTATGAAAAAGAAACAAAGTAGACATAGCTTCAGTAGAACAGAAATAAACATGAGCCCCACAGAGGCAAAAGAATCAGATCCAAACACTTTAAAGAACACCTCAGCCCTAGAACTTCTGACCTTGCAAACACATTTAAATTTTATATCCCAAGTCCTACTGCTGTTCATGACTTTTTTTTTTTTCTGATGATGGAAAATATTGTTCATTTACTTTAGAATATAATAAGCTTTTAAAATGACCTGGGTGATTTATTTTTTAACCTTTTTTGTGTTTTTTTGAGACAGGGTCTCATGTAGCCCAGGCTAGCCTTGAATTTTCTCATAGTTTAGGCTTATCTTGAACTCCACTCCTCCTGTCAGTACCTCCCAAGTGCTGGGATTGGATATGTGCCCCCAGGCCCAGCATCCAGAGAAAATGCTTTGATATATATCTTCCCAAACATTGTTATGAATATATAAATACATGTTTTGTCCTTTCCCTGCTTTTTGTTTTGATTTGGGGGTAATGGACATGGAACTTGGGGCCTTGTGCATGCTAGGCGGTTTCACTACCTTAAAAAATAGAAACAATGTGCTCTCTATGGCAGTTCAACCAGTTGTAAAATCTAAAATGTGGAACCCATTGCTCCCTTCAGTCTTACTCCCCAGAGATAAGCCAGGCATGCTGGCAGCTTAGTATGAGTCTCACACATGTTTTCTGTGCTATGTAGCATGTAGGTTTCAAATTAAATTTCAAATTAAAATTGAAATTTTTAACATATACCTCAAGTGCTTTTCTATGTCCTTTAATACTAGGAGTGATCATTTTAATAATGCTTTGCTTCCTAATAGCTTGAGGACTTGGAATGGTATACAGCCATCTCTTGCTATCCACCAGGGATTGATTCCAGAGCACTCATCCAAGTGTTCAGATCTCAAGTCCTTCTTCCTGTATGCTTTAAATCTCTCAATTGCTTATAATATCTATAGATTGTAAAGGCTATGTAAGACTTTTTTAGATCCATACACATTTCTTTTCATGTCTGCCCAAAGGTTACTCTCACCCGATATACACAGATATATCTCAATCTTCCTTTAAAGCATTTACATGCACACACTAGCGTTGATATTTCTGTACCTAGGCTCTCTTCTGTGCTCCCTATTTTAATTGCCACAGAACCTCTGGTGCCTCTTCCCTTTCTAAGATCTCCTCCCTAGGTTGTCAAGTCCTGAGGTCCTAATGTATACACTTAATCAAATATGAGTTTTGTTCCCTAGCACCTCCCCATTTTTCTTGGGATAGTTCAGTGGCTAGTTGGTCACGTAGCAGACAAGCTTTCTTCCTCTCTGTCCATCAGTCATATCAGTGTCAAGTAAGTCTTCGCAAAAGACACCTCAAATCCATTCTCAGAGAATTCTTTCTTCATTGACAGTGTGCTTAGAGCACTCTTCAACCTGCTAATTGGTGCTTTCAGTACTGCCTAAGGCTGTCTTTTAAAAGCTTTCTGTCCCACCATTCCAGACATATGCCCAGCCTTAACTACCAGTCTCCAGAGGCCAGCCTTCCTGTGTGCATGCTCTTTTCTCTTCCTCCAGTTCCTCCTTTCTCTGTTTTGCATTCATCATAACCTGCGTTCTGTTGTTGCTGTTTGTATGTATGTCTCATACCGTCCCTTATCTTCACTCCAAGAAAGAAGAGCTGTATCTGATTCATCCTCACAGTACTCACTGTGATGAACTTGTTTCCACCCCTCCACCTAGCCCCTTTCACTGATCTGGGGCTCATTGTCTGATAGAGTAGCCACTAGCAACAGGTGGGACTTAGTACTTCAACTATAGCTAGTACACCTGAGCACCTGAATTTTATTTTACTTAATTTCATTTTATTTATTTATTTATTTTGTCTTTTTTTTTTGAGACAGGGTCTCCCTGTAGCCCCAGCTGTCCTGGAACTTACCATGTAGACCAGGCTGGCCTTGAACTCACCTGCCTCTGCCTCCCAAGTGCTGGGATTAAAGGCATGTGCCACCACGCCCGGCATATTTCATTTTATTTTTTGAGACAGGGTTTCAAGGTGGAGCATGATAGAGAAAGTCACCTGAGGTCGACATCTGGCCTCCACATATACATATAGCCCAGGCTGGGCAGGGGCTTCCCATATAGTCCAGGCTAGCCTCAGACTCACAGACCTTTCTACTCTTTCCTCCTAAGTGCTGGGACTATAGGTATGTTCCATCATACCTGGCCTGAGCAGCTGAACTTTAAATTTAATCTTAATTAAATTTGTCTAAATTTAAAATCTATGAATCAATATTCCTTTTTTTTTAAAAAAAAGTATTTTTTGTTTTATGTGTATGTGTGTATTGCCTGCATGTAGGTAAGTGCACCCATGTTGTATAATGCATGCAGAGAACAGAAGAGGTTGTCAGGATCCCTTGGAACTGGAGTTACAGACAGTTGTTAGCTGCCATGTGGGTGCTGGGATTTGAACCTGGGTCTTCTGCAAGTATAGCCAGTGTTCTTAAACCACTGAGCCATCTCTCCAGTCCCTGAATCAATATTCTTTGGAAACATCTTGGGTATGTGAATGAATCTACTTTTCAACTATAGATTTTATGAAATATAGACACAAACCAAGCATTTCTGATAAAGATCTAGCATCTGAGCTGGGCGTGGTGGCACACGCTTTTAATCCCAG